TAGGCCCATAAAGTTTAGCAGGGGGGGGGGGGGGGGGTGGAGGTGGGACAGAGTACGCTTGCGGCTCTGGGTGAATTAAGCTATAGAAATCCAGAGAAGAAATTGTGAATGCCTGCTAAAAACAGGCATTTAAATTTGTTAAAAGATCTAAAAAATTGAACTTTTGAACTGGCTGAATATTATTTCTGCCCCACAATTACATTGCCAGCTAACAATGGATATTTGGGCATAGTATTTCAGAACTGCAGTTTGAAAATGGCATGTGGTGACATAGCCGGGAAAAGGTACTACTCAAGCCTTAACCTCTTTTTTCAGTGGTGGTCTTTAGTCTGCAAACTGCACTTTCTCGCATTTATAGCTAATGGCAGGCCAAAATTAAACAGTCATGGTACTTATAAATCCAACTCGGAAAATGCCATCATGTATTTTTAATCTAGCTACCTCATCACTGAATAATAAAATGAAAGGATTGCCGAGTTTGACTGGCATTTGTAAGTAGCATATGAAAGGGGCTAATAGAGGGAGAAAATTAGTTGCATTTATCATCTTAACTACATTCATATTACACTCACGATTCAATTGTTTAAAAATTAATCCTTAAGAACAGCTTTTTTAAGTTTAAGCATTCCAAACAATTGTAATTTATTCTCTGAACAAATGCTATTTGTAAAAGATTTTTTAAAAGAGAAAGAACCTTCCATGCATCTTACCAAATAAATGACCTATTCTTCAACTATTTGAAATAAATAGCATTTAATTCCTACATGTGTGCATCACAAAAGTTAAAAAAAAATCCTGTAACCTAAGAACAGAAGTCCCTAATGCATACTATTTACCTGAAAGCATATTTTGTGAGCATAATGTGCCGTAATATTTTGGAAAAAGCAAGGGCCTTTAGTAACATCCATCGACACGTTGTCAGGGAAGCAAGTCTAAAATCAACCCAGCCTGCTGCCACCTGTCCAGCCCCTCTGCTGCTCCCAGCAAATGTAGGAAACTCCCTTCCTTGGAGACGGTCCTTTGCCCCATCACCCTCAGGATGGTCCACAGCAGGTGAGGGTACGGCTTCCAGGTGGGGGCAGGGGCACCCTGCCTGCCAGATGCCACAGTGGCCAGGTCCCTGTTCTGGCTACTATCACACTACCAGAATTGGGTGGTGTGACTGTGGATGCAGGGGGAAAGTCCCATTTCAAAAGGAAAATATGGTGATTTGCCACTGAAGATTGGTGATGTGATACTGGCAGGAAAAAAAAGGGGGGGGGGTTCTTGCTTTAAAATAGCCCCCTCTTGCTGACACTGCTGCTATAGCACCACATTTTGGCTGCCAAAAGGAAAAACAGGCCTTTCTCCCTTTCTATGGCCACTGGGCCACCAAGGTTTGGTGGCAGGGCAGCTGGGGGAAGCAGCCAGGAGCACATGCAGCCTACAGGCACCATGGACTAGCAGTGGTTCTCCAGGGTTCCAGATGCCACAGCCAGAATCTGGAACCTCGGCATGCAAAGCATTCAAACCAGGTAATGGGGCTCCTCCCACGAATCAGGCTCTCTCTCTGGACATTCATTCATTTAGGTACCGTCTTTTATATACTCCTATATTGAATAAAATGTTCAAGCCTTAGAAATTTTTTATAAATAAAGTTTTGCTGATTTCTGTGCCATTTCTTTGGCGTCATGTTATATTGCATTCTTTCAAATATTTGTATTTTTAAAAAATATTTTAAATGGTCCTATGGCATTTTAATCATTCAACTCTTTGTAATTTGCCCAGAGAACTTCGGTTATTGAATGGATTCAAAACAAAACACATAAAGTGCATGTATACCCAGGCGCTGTATACTACAGCACCAGTATAACTTAGAAACCAGGACTGTATTCTGATCTCCCTCAGTTGTGAGACCTAAGCACTTTGGGGTGCTGCTGGGGCCTGGGTTCCACAGACCCAGCCTTGAGCAGGATTGGGCAAGTCAGATTTTCCAGGGAGTCAGGAACTGGAACAGGACTGCACCATGGAGAACTCCGAGTGGGGCTGAGGCTGGAAGCCAAACCAACTTTCTATATGTCGCTCCAATAAGGAGAAGAAGGTGACTGAGCCTTAAGGAGATATGGCTTCCTTTTCACTGTCTCCACACTGACAGAGGGTTTATCTCTTATAAACATTGTTAACCTGGTCAGCCATAGTCTGGTTAGCAGTGGTTCTCCAGGGACCATTCCAGAGTCTTCATGGCTGGGGTCCTCTGAGGTCAAATACAGCAATGAAACCCCCTCTGGATGCAGGGAGGAAAATTCCTGGAGTCTTCCTGGGGAACTGGGTCCAGAGAAGGTGGGACTCTCGTGGTGTAATTCAGTAACTTTGTTCATTCCCTGAACCATTAAATCAGAAGCTGGAAGATGAAAGGCTGGCATATCATGAGAGTGAGCATTCAGGGCCCTGGTCCATGAACGTGGCCAGGGGTCTGGGCAGCTGAGGGTCATGAGAGCAGGTGGAGGGGCAGTGACAGGCAGAGGGACACCGTTGTCTGGCTGAAGAAGGCTGGAGGCTTAATGTGTCCCTTGGACCACCTGCTAAGAAGCATGGCCCATCCTGTTTCTACATGTAAGCCTCAACATATGTGCACCTACTTAATGCTGCTTATCATACTATTGACGTCTATAGAAAAAGTGCAAATCCTTCTATTTTTAGGTGCTTTTGATATCAAAAGCCTGTTTTAGCCTGTTTATTGATTTATATATTATTTGAAAGCCTTGTAGCTTAACTTTCATGTCAAAGAGTTTTCAAGGCTGCTTTTCCAGCCTCTGATGAGCCTGTGGTGCTCATGACATTGTTCTTGTGATCTGCCTGCCTAATTTCTAAGTACAAATTCCATCAGGTTTGCTTCTTATCAACTTATTAAGATAAAGACACATTAATTTGTTACATCTTTGATGTGACACAACAAGACACTGTGTTCAAAGAGTACATTGATGCTAGAAGTGCAGGCCAAAGTATAATCTCCCTCTTTTTAATTTATTTTTTGTGCTCATAATGAACTTGCAGGGTGGTCCTCTTTTATTCAGGGTTTACAGTGGAAGGGGTGGGTTAGAAAGAAATAGCGTACCCAATGCCACTGCGATTTCATAGGCGAATGAGCGAGGAAGCCCAGCCCCAGAGCAGATCTCCAGCAGGCCATACTACCAGGAAGGGTCAGGACTGGTATGTCAGCCACTGGGAGCAGGTGCAGGGAAGGCTAGAGGAGAGTCAGATGTTCTCACCCAGCAAAGCTGCAGTCATGGTCCCCATGCCCCACTTTACCAGTTCCCTCAACTGCCTTCCTTTCCCGCTTCTTGGAGGGCAAAGTTAAAGCTCTGAGGGCCAAAGAGGAGGGGGATGGGTCAACGGACTGTTGACAGAAAGAGGTGAGATGAGAGCAAGAGTGGCAGCCTTGTTCAGGGCCTTGGTGGAGGAAGAGCCTTTGGCCTGCGTTGTATGGACAAGTCCTAGGCACAACCCCTCGCCTATCCAGGCAGGGCTGGGAAAGGCTCCTGTGTGATCCCCACAGCAGTCGAGACCCAACGTGAGGCGCCTCCAGCCCAGAGGCTGGATCCTGTCCGTGGCTGAATTCCATCTAGACCGCAGCCCTTCTGGGAATTCTTTCTCATTTGCCAGAGAACCAGGGAGCTGGCTCCAGACATGGCAAGGGTGAGGATTAGGGCTGAGCCCCTCTGGTAGGGATGGCAAAGTCAGAGGAGTTGAAGTCCCCTTCCCAGGTAGTGACAACACAGGTGCAGCTGGGAGAGGCCTGCTTCCTGGGTGCTCCCCCGGCTCATTTTGACTCTAATCCCATTCACCTCGCCCCATTCACCCACCTTTCTCCAGCCTCATCCATCAGCTTTTCTTTCCCATGGCCTCTTCACAGAAAATAGATTCCCACCTCTGGTGTAGAGAATAAAGGGTTTCTTATTAAAAGGTGCAAGCATCATTTCAGGGGGTTTCATGCCCTGATGTCTCCTCACACCCATTGAGCTAAATGCAGTCCATCAGCCTTGTCATGTGAGCGACTAACGGCATGCACCACCCTCTCTTTCTCTGCACACACACAGAGTTCTCCGATATCAGGCCTGCAGCAAAACCATGGCATTTATCAAACAGCTGCTGGTAGACCACCATATATGATTGCCAGTCTGATCTGGTCAGTCACAAGCTATGCAGCTGTGCAAACATATCACAGAGCTTTGTATTGGAGCAGGCAAGACCAAACTTCCATTGGTAAAGGTGGAAATCGGCTGCCTGGAGCCAAAGTGTGGAGGAAGAGGAGAAGGCATTCTCTGGATAATTGTGGCAGCTTCCTAAAATCTCTGCGGATGGGAAGCCCCTTTCGAGGACAATGATCGTTTGCATTATTGGCAGGCGGTGGAATTCCTGATTGGCCTCTCCCCACTGGTTCTGATGCTTTCCATTTATGCAGCTGAAGAGCCAGCCTGTTTCTCTAATTAATCCACCTGAACAACAGTAAAAGAGCACAATTAGCCCTGAGTCATCCTGGCACACGTCCCCCACCTGCTGCCAAGGCTTCATGTGACACATAGAGACGTCAGTTGCTCACTCAGTCAAGCTAAGCCTCACATGTTGGCTGGATGGGAGGAGCTGCTGACCCTCTCGGTAATTACTCAGTCGAACAGCTTAACTAACATGCAAATTCCTCTGCTGAGTGACAGGTAAACATTGTGAGGCCCCTGCCTTACGCTGGCAGAGGGGAGGAGAAAAGCAAGAGAGGGAGGGTACTGACATAGATGTAAGTGCGCGTGTCAGTTCCAGATCTAATGCGGCTTCGAAGTATGACATGATTCATTAGCTTTATTTCATGCTCGGGGTAACGGAGTTGTGGTTGCTGTGTTAATTAAGTGGGGAGGGAGCAGGGTGGAACTTGGCAGGCAGAAGTCAGCTGGCATGGCACACACATCCCAGAGGGCAGGGCTGCTCCAAATCACGGGCTTTCCCGTTCTCCCAGTATTCCACATCCACACCCTCCATTCAGAGCAAAGGAAGCAACGCAAATGCCACTCAACTATTTGGGCTCCGTGGTCCATTGGCAAACTCTGGGGGAGCTCACCAAAATAGCAAGGAACCTTGTGTCACCCTGTGCTGTTCTTAGCCTTTGAGGCGCCACAAGGCTTGCGGTTGTTTTCACTGCAGCAGAGCCTCTGGAAATCAGGTGAGAGAGATCTTTTGCCATGCCTTCCTTCAGTGTGGCAAACCTAGTTCTAGCAGACTGATGCAGAGCTCCAGGTGCTTTTCTCAGCACAAGGAAGCTACACCAAAGCCATTGTTGTCTGTTGCTTTTCTGTAGGCATGAGTGTTTTTACAGTAGCCATAACATGTGTGTGTGTGAACTTGAAATTTTATAGTTTTTGAGTCAATTAATAGCAGCATTTCTTTTTAGAGGTGTCTTGTATGCTCACGAGCTCAGGTATTAGGTCCTCTGGCACAGCTGTAGTATGCCAGTTCACGCACAGCTATAAGTTGTCCTGTACACATACACCTTTGCAGGTGAGGTGCTGCTCCTTCCCACACAGCCCAAGCATGAGCGTGTCCTACTGAGTGTGTCTGCACCATCAGTGGAAGCAAACATTTTTTCATGCAAGCTCGGCCTCCTTGTTCCAAACTCCCAAAGTTCTATCCCTGCCCAGAAACCAGAAACTACCCTCAGTGATAAATGAAGTGTAATTATCAATACCAAATTTGTACAATTAGATGGCACATCCCTTGAGAAAAGTCAACAGCTACCAGATTACCCACAGGTATTTGCTTTGCTTACTGTTTTATTTATTTCCTTTTAAATCAGGATAAACAGCATTATTTTCTTTCCTCATTTATCCTCTCAACAATCCCTGAGGCAGTGTAGGCTGAGAGAGATTGAATGGCTCGGAGTTACCCGGGGGGGTCCATGGCTGGGCCGTGATTAGGACCTGGATCTTGCCAGTATGAGTGAAACCTTCAGCTGCAGGCATGCAAGGATTTGTGTGTGCATGTGTGTGTGTGTGTGTGTGCTGGGGATGTATATGCATACATATCTAGCATCGTGAAACAAGTCTCTGGTTTTGTAAAGATCTTTGAATGATGGTGAAGACTGAGGAGACAGTCTCAAAGTGGGGCAGGCCTGGCTGTAGACTAATCCATCTATTGTTTCTCATCAGAAGACCTGATGCTCCTAGAGGCCAGATGGTGCTGGTGGACTGGGTGCAGGCAAAGAAGGCAGGGCAAAGGCAAAAGGTGCAGGGCCAAAATGTATATAAGGAGAGGAGAGGAGAGGAGAGGAGAGGAGAGGAGAGGAGAGGAGAGGAGAGGAGAGGAGAAAAATGGGAATCCATGAATCTGGGCTCAGTTCCCCAATGCAACAAAGTTGTGTCATTTTTTAGAATACGGAAGAAAGCTGCAGCAGCAACAAATCAACTAAATAAATAACAATGATTTTAAGCTTAATAAAGTCATCAAAGTAATTTTTGGGATAATAAAATTGTGCTATATTTCATATAAGCTCTTCCTGGGGTTGATACCATGATTAAAAACACTTTTTCATTAACATTTATTAGGGACTAAAATGTTAACTTTGATTGAATTTTCCACAGGGAACTAAAGTCATGAAGCTAATCTCCTCTCCTTTATTCTGGTTAAGAAGCAAAGAAAGAGCACAATGGACCATTCCACTTTAGTGACAAAAGCCAGAAGGAAAACGAATGAACAAGTACAGAACGTGTGCAGTTAGGACTAGTTTTAGCCTGATTCTACACAGACATATTCCACTAGGTTAAAACAACCTGTTTTTACTGGGCTTGCCTTCCCATCTTCTTTTTCCTGCTGGCCTTCTTAACAGACAGCTGTTTCTAGTTTATGCCCAAGATCCAAATAACGAATGGGCTATTATCAATCTTGCCCAGCCTGCTTCTGAAAATATATGCGACAGCATAAAAATTAATAGGGCTCCATAGGGAAGTAAGTCCAATTATGGCCAGGAGCAAACTGTAAAGGAAGAATAAAATGGGAATGCAAACACCTTTGAGGGCAATGATACCTCCAGGTGCATATAAAGGATATAATGTGTTCCCAGTGGACGACCTACTGCCACTAGGATTTTGGCAACTGTGTTTGTTCTACAGACTGAAGTTGTAACATTTGGACAGATATCTCCTGCAATTTCCGCACTCCAACAGGAGAGCCGCAGTAAAGATCAAGGTACTTTCCGTTGATGTAAACCTCAGTGGTCAAGCGAGGCAAAAGGAAACTTGGGCTACTATCCTAATTCAAGATCACCAGGTCTCTAGTTATCTCGCTCAATGTTCATTAAAAGGAAGAGGTTGTTGACTGGCAAAATAATTTATAAGCAGTCTGTTACATCTGTTCTTTCGGATTAATAGAAGTTAGTGGTCCAAGCATGATTATGGTATTAAGATGTGACATCACTGGAATATTTGCCTTGAAGCCAGAGCAAATATAAAATCCAGAGTGTACTTTGTCACTTATTATCGGAGATGGACCCATGGTTGTCATGGTAGCTGAGTAATTCTGAACTAGTTCTAAAAGTCTGCCTGAGGGCCACTTCATATGATCCTGAGATAACAACTTTGACCTCCAGTTTGTGTACTTGTTCAAGGATGCATCAGGCAGCAGTTGAAAAAGTCAGCGCTCTCCAAAAAGACCATTTGTCCTTCATTCTTGGATGTATGATCATATGAAAAGTATGAGGGTTCTGTTATCTCCAGTGAACGGAGTTTATAACTGCTATGCTTTTATTTAGAATGACTTCCTTCCTCATTGCCAGAGCAAGAAGCCTCCATTTTGCATTCTCAGCAGTGCACCCACTAAGTGACCGTCCCTCTGTGCTGGCAGGCTGCAAGTGCCCCTTGTCTGTCACATAATGGCAGCCATCACTGATTCATAAAGCTCTTCTTTCTGTCTCCCCTGTCATTCATTTATTTACATTGTCTTTCCCCTGGATCAATCTGGACCTGCATAGGGCGAACACGCAAAGTAAAGTGTTCCATCCCGGCCCCAGTCCTTCATCCATTTGTCATCCTCAACCCATAGATTTGCCTGTCTCTTCTACACATGGAGAATAACCACATAAGCAAGAGCACTAGAAAATCAGTGCTTGAATAGGGTTGCCCACACCACAGCTGCTCATGCTCTTTCTTGTGCCCTCCCTGCATTCTGCCAACTAGTTCCAAAGTCAGCTCTGTTTTTTAAAATGTTTTGCTTTGCATTTTATGCCTTGCTTAGAGTTTGTTTAGTTTGCTGTTAACTACAATGTACATTAAGTTGGAATTTTAACATAACTCTGTTGTAACCTGTTCTGATGCCATTTCCACACCAGTGTTTTCATCTTTCATGGAACTTTCACTTGCTGCGACTCAAATTGTCCACTGAAGAGTTTGATTTTTTAATTGTGTTGCTCCATTCAGCTGAAATGCGCCATCTTGCACTGAGTAGAGCTTCTCGCACTGTTCACCTGCATGCTGGCAGCCAGAACTGGTCCTGACCTTCAGCAGAGTGGGACAAGCAACTTGGCTGGCAGATTCTGGGGGGCAAAAATGGCAGCCCCTCAAGCCACTACTCCTAACCCTCCCGGGGCATTGCTGTTTCTTGGACGTTCAACCCGCATGTGCCCTACAGCTTGTCGTGAAGCCCCTAAACCACCCTGTTGCCGTTTGTTGTGGTGAAGGACCCCATCCCACTGCCAGAACTAAAGTAGCATTTCTCGGCAAGGACATTTGGCTTCTGTATGTGGAACGGTGTGTGGCGTGGGGCATCTTGTCCTTTCTCTCTGAGAGCAAGGAGTCCTGGGCCAGCCCATTGGAAATCCTCTGGGAGCCTAGGCTGTCACACTGGGTTTTGGCAAGGGCAGCACCCCAGCTGAATGTGAACTTGACATGCACACTGCCAACCTTCTGCAGTGGTGTAAAAGAGGCCAGTGTTCCCTTCCATTTGTATGTAATCACACAGCCATTATCCACTCTGCCCCCTCCTAGCAGAATATTGATTTCATCCTCCAACAATGTTCAAGTGTACGGTGCACACTAACGTTCCCCTGCCTGGAAAAATAACCCTGAATGTGCTCAATCGTATTTTAGAGATCAATGAAGCATAAATGCACATTTCCAATTGTGCAGGCTTGTTTGTTTACCTTGCACAGTTCAAGCCCTTTAACCATCCGTTTACCTGACAATTACCCAGGGTTAACAACAGAGTTTTTACTTGGGGACTAGTGAAAACAAATTCACAGCAAAGTGTGGGCTGAATGAGATTAGAAATAATAATCGCCTAAACCCATTCTCCAGCCTCCATCCCGTTCCCATTATCTCCTCTTTTTTTAAACCTGTCTTCTGACAAATTCCCCCAACCTCAAGCTCTCTCCAACTCCCCCTTCCTATGTACCTTACATCCCCCCTACTCTTCTGATTGTTTCCCCTCCAAACATAAACATGATTCATTTAACCAATGGATCCACTGCTGCAAAAACAGAATTCCCAGCCAGAACCTGATGCGCAAAAGCTGCTACGTCCATTTTAGAGCAGGGTGCCCAATGTAGCTCCAAAAAGCACCTGCAAAGCCTGCCTCCTTAAAAAAAAGTTTAAATAAAAAACTGAAAAAGATTGGGGTGCCTCCTTCCCCTTCCCTTCCCTGAACCTGCTGCTGATCAGCTGTTCAGCAAACAGGGAGAGAAAGGCAGGCAAAGGGGTAGACAGGAGAGGAGGAGCAAGGCTAGCATGCAAGAGAAGGGAGAAACAGGGAGGTGGGGGAAGAGAAGCAGCTAGGCTAGCAGCTGGGGCGGCGAGAACGAGAGCAAAGGGAAATGGTCTGTATAGGCAGAAGAGTGGGTGGGCCCAGATCAGCTCTCTCCAATTCCTCCTTCCCCCAGCCTCTTGCCTTGCTCTTTCTCTCTCCTGCACATGACAGGAGCCCGCAGCAGCTGCTATGGGGCTAGCCATGTCCTCCATGCCAGCCATGTTGTGGTGGTGCCCACAGCAGTTTCTCAAATTCCCAAATGAGCCCATGGGTCCAAAAAGTCCAGGACTCTTGGTCTAGAGCTTAGGCACTGTTTGCTTTAGCTGTGGGAGAAACAAATAACTTTCCACTTTCCTGGAATATCCATCATGCATTCTTTTCTTTTTTGGGGGGGCAGATACATCTTTAAGCTATAGCCCTCTTGGGTTTTCC